TTTTGTTGAGACAGGGTCTCACTATATAGTTGAGACTGATCTGGAACTCACTATGTAGTCCAGGCTGGCCTTGAACTCACAGCGATCCTCCTGCCTCAGCCTCCAGAGTGCTGGGATTACAGGCATGCGCCAACACACCTGGCCCCATAAATACTGTCTTGCTTTTAAGACAAACAATAGATAGTAATAATTACCCCTCCCAAACAGTGGCATAATAAATACATGCATTAATTTTAAGATATATTCCATTTAGATATTGTTGAAATGTAGAAAAATGTGTTTTTTCAGGTTGATGAAATATGGTGATAACTAATAATGGCAGTAGCTAGCATTGAACACTTACTGTGTGCTAGGAAATGTCCTTAATCTTCTTAATAATCCTTTAAGATTAACAGAGAGGCTAAGCAACCAACTCAAGATTGGGTTGCTAGGAATTCACAGGGTCTGGAGTTGTTTTTAGGACTTGCTGTCTTTCTTACTTACTCTAATGAAATATGTTTCCTTTCTTTTCTTTTGGTTTTTTGAGACAGGGTCTCACTATATAGTTGAGACTGAACTGAAACTCACTATGTAGCCCAGGCTGGTCTCGAATTTACAGCGATCCTCCTGCCTCAGCCTCCTGAGTGCTGGGATTACAGGTGTGCGCCATCACGCCTTTTCCTTTCTTTTTTTTGGTACTGGGGATTGAACACAGGATCTTGCACTTGCGAGGCAGGCAGCAAAACTACTGAGTAAATCCCCCATCCCTGTTTCCTTTCTTTTATTTTGGATTTTTGCTGAAGCAAAGTCTCCCTATGTAGTCCAGGCTGGCCTTGAATTCACCATGTATCTCAGGCTGGACTCAAACTCAGTGATCTTCTTTCCTCAGCCTAACAAATGCTAGAATTACAGGCGTAAACTACCACACCCAGCTCTGAAATGTATGTTTTCTGTATGTGTATATGAATGTGTATGTGTGTGTGTGTGTGTGTGTGTGTGTGTGTGTGTGTGTGTATGTGTGTATTCTTTGTTGTTTTTTGTTTTTTGATGGAGCCAGTGATTGACCTCAGCTATATATATTTTATTGGGGAACTGTCAGAATCTTTTTTTTTTGGTACTGGGGATCGAACTTGGAGCCTTGTGCTTGTGAAGCAGGCAGCGGAACCACTGAGCTAAATCCCTGGCCCTTTTCTGGTATTTTTGAGTCATGCTTTCACTATATAGTTCAAACTGGCCTTGAACTATGTAGCCCAGGCTGGCCTTGAACTTGTGCCTCAGCCTCCCTACTGCTGGGATTACAGGTGTGTGTCACCATACCTGGCTGTATATATTTTTTAAAGAGAAAAATTTCTGTAATACAAACTTCCTGATGGTGTACTTTTTTTTTTTGGTACCAGGGATTGAACTCGGGACATTGGGCTTGTGAGGCAGGCAGTGGCACTACTGAGCTAAAGCCCCGGCCCTCTGATGGTGTACTTTATAGTTTGAAGCTTTTGTTTGGTTCTAGAAATTTATTTTGTTTTGTTTGGTACTGGGGCTCAAACTCTGGTCCTTGCCCTTGGAAAGCAGGCGGTGGAACCACTGAGCTAAATCCGTGGCCCTCATCTTGCCTTTTTTTTTTTTTTTTTGTGGTACCAGGGATTGAACTTGGACCTTGCAGGGGGCAGAACCACTGAGCTAAATCCTTGGCCCCTGGTTCTAGAATTTTGATCAACTTTAAAATAATTTAAAATAACCAAAAGTGAACTGAAAATGCTTGGTTCAGTGAATGAGAATAAGCTGTAGGAATATATAGCAATGCTGAAGAAATAGTAATATGATTTTGAATAAAAAATAACTTGTCATTGTTACAGTATGGCAAGCCTGTGATTGTAGCACTCTGGAAGGTAGACACTGGAAGATTGCAAGTTCTTAAGCCAAATCAGGGCAATTTGATGACTCATTAAGACCTCATTTCAAAAGAGAAAATAATAATAATAAAAAAAGAGCTGTGGATGTGACTTAGTTTAAAGGCCCTGAGTTCAGTCACCAGTACACACAGCAAATGTAAATTGTAGACTTTAAACAGTTTGCCATGATTTATATAAACTTCGCAAGTGAGTGAAGCTAAATAATATATTGTTTTTTTTTTTGAGTGCTAGGATTGAACCGAGGACCTTGTGCTTGTGAGGCAGGTGGCAGCACCACTGAGCTAAATCTCCAGACCCTAAATGAGATGTTGATTAAAAGCACAGATATGTGCAACTGTTAGAAAGGAAGAGAAGGACAAAAGCAAATTTCAGATCAGGTTGTATGTGGTAGGAGAATAAGAAGGGACACATTGGTAGCATTGATGGGTTCATAACTTGGATGATGCATTTACAGTGTTCAGTTTATTCTCTTTTTGTAGTACTAAGGATTTAACCCAGGGCCTACTCACTGAGCTACATTTCCAGCTCCTGTCTCCTTTCTTTTGTTTAAATTTTGAGACAGGGTCATGCTAAATTGCTAAGTCGCTCAGGCTGGGCTTGAACTTGCGAGGCAGGCAATGGTACCATTGAGCTGAATCCCTGGCTCTTGGGCTTGAACTTGCTATCCTCCTGCCTCAGCCTCCCTGAGTACTGGGCTTACAGGTGTGCACCATCACACCCAGCTTTACAATGTTCATTTTATTATCATATACTTCAGGAGAAAAAAGAATATGGCATAATAAATTTAAATAGTTTTAAAAAGGTACTCTTTAAATGAGTCTACCATATATATCATGTAGTACGTCTGTAGTGAATTCAGATGTTATTAATCAGTAAAACTGATGCCTAAAAGTATTAAACATTTTATATTATTTTTACTTACCCATTTAGCTTAATTCATCCCTCTAGTATATGCTATGTTTATTTCTTAGTAGTCATCTATGAATGTGCAATTCTAAGTCATTTCAATTTTAGAGAGCCTTTAATTTTTGAATTTTTAAAATGCTTTAAATAACTAAAATTTAAAGAAGTTATTTATATCAAGTATTCCCTCCACCCCATCTTTCATTGTAAAAGAAACTTACCATTTTCTTCCCTGTACTTTCTTTTTCATGATTGTTTTGCAGCAAGGGCAAGTACTTTGTAACCTTCCCATATCCGTATATGAATGGACGCCTTCATTTGGGGCACACTTTTTCTCTATCCAAGAGTGAGGTAAAGCTTCTGTGTTTAAATAATGGGATGGGGGGGCGTCTTTAATAGATGCTACTTTGAAGAAATCACATGCATAGAATTTGTTTCCTATTAAAGGAACTTAAGAGTTCCTTCATTTTTCTTTTTTTTTGTATTTAGTCAATATAATTTTTATACTTACTTTCACAGGTCTTGTGTATATTTATACAGGGTTCTGGGCATATATATGTGTTAAAATTCTTAGGTTAGTGGAAACAACAGGAAAACAAATGATAGTGTACTAAAATTTTGGAATGTGGAATGACTGTAAAATTTGAACTGGTGGGTTTTGTTTGTTTAGTTTATTTTTTCTTGACAGTGTCTTGCTATGTGGTTCAGGTTGGCCTTGAACACATGACATAGCCTGGGCTGGTCTCGACCTTGATGTGGTCTTCCTGCCTCAGTCACCCAGTTCTGGTATCAGAGGTGTGTACTACCACACCCGGCTAAACTGGTGTTTTAAGGGAAGATAAGAAAACTAATGTTCTTTGTGAAAAGTTAGCATTTTGTATTCATCTGCTATTTATCTTTTTAATTTAAATTTGCTTTTCTTTTGTAGTTTGCAGTAGGGTACCAGAGATTGAAAGGAAAATGCTGTCTGTTTCCTTTTGGCTTACATTGCACTGGGATGCCTATTAAGGTATGATTACATACAGGATTGGTGTGTGCTCTTTATTATGGAGCAGTTGGTGATATCTAAGTCAAGAGCTTTAAATAGGATTTTTCATGCTGCCTGCCTCACAAACACAAGGTCCCGAGTTCGATCCCCAGTACCAAAAAAAGAAAGGAGTTTTCAACACTGCCAAAGCTTTGTGAAACGGGTTCAATTTATTGTAGTGACGATTAATTTTAAAATATTTAAAGTAAATAAAAGGCATGCAAATAAGGTTTAAGTGATTTCTAAGGAAGTTTGATTGCTTTTAGAGTCCTTACATATTTAAGTCTGTTGGAATTGGGTAATACTTTCTCTTTTGGAATTGGTTAGTAATTTTTGACTAAAACCGTAAAGTGATTTGTGCATTTGTGACATATAAAATATTGCCGTAATTAGTTGTAACATATTTTGATCATTTTTACAAATGTCTTCTAATTTACATTAAGAATAATTCTCAGTGAAGAATGGAAACTAGTTGGAAAGATTCTCTTCTAAATGTAATAGCAATAGCAACTAGGAGTTAAATAGTACCAGCATTTTTTTTAATCTCCAATTTTTTTATTTTGAAAGATGTCAAGTCTACAAAAAGGTAAAAGACTAGTGCAGTGAACACTTGAATATTCTCTATCTATAGAAACCAACTTTTACCTTGTATTTTCTAAGTAGTAACTTTTGCTGCATTTCTTTTAGTTTTTTTCCTCTCCGCGCAAACACATGCACACGTGCTCTCCTTTCTTTCTCTTTTCCTGTGAACTTTTTGAAAGTAAATTGGAGACACGATGGCACCCATAAATACTTCAGCAGAACAGAGCATTCTTTTGCATCATTGTAGTCACAGTATCCCCTTCAAGACACTCACCATGGATCTAATATTTTTATTTAGCATATAGCTAGATTTCTGTAGTTATCCCAAGATATATTTCCTTGTTGTATTTTTACATTTTTTGTTTTGTGAAAGACATGCCTCCTTTAGTTAATAACTAATAGAAAATATGAATTTAACTCTCACTACAAAGGCACTTTGTGAGGGGTTTGAAGTGGGGTCTCACTGTATAGTTCAGGCTGGCCTTCAACTCATTGTGTAGTTCTGATTGGCCTCGAACTCATGGTAATCCTTCTTCCTCAGCCTCCCAAATGCTGTGATTACAGGTGTGTACCACCATGCCTGGCTTCAAAGGCAGTATTCTTTTGTTTGTTTGTTTGTTTTTTGATTTTTACTTTGGTACCAGGGATCGAATTCAGGACCTTGAGCTTGTGAGGCAGGCAGCAGATCCACTGAGCTAATTCCCTGGCCCCATTGTTCTTTAAATTGAGAGGCACAGTTATTACTGTTATTCAAAGTAACACATAATGGTTTATATATCTTCATATTTCTAGTGCCTTGCTTATAGTATACCCTACTAGGTACTTGGTATTGAATAAATAGTTGTTTAGTAGTTGATGAATTAGTGGATTTTGAGATAAATGGTTTGTGTCATTTGAGTTTTTATGTATATATACATATATTTATATATTATGCAGAAAATTTCAGAGTTAATTTTAGTTGGCTTTAGGGACAAAAACTCAAACTATTTCCTTGAAGTTTGAACTTTGCTATCTCTAATGTTGTGTTATAGGCATGTGCTGATAAATTGAAGAGAGAAATTGAACTGTATGGTTGCCCCCCTGATTTTCCAGATGAAGAAGAAGAGGAGGAAGAAATCAGTGTTAAAGCAGAAAATGTAGTTAAGGATAAAGCTAAAGGGAAAAAGGTTTGGTGAATATTGATATTTATGTTGGTTGACGTTTTATGTTTATATTTGTCTGATTTATTTATTTTATTAGCTTTTGCAGTGCTAGGTATTGAACCTAGTTTGGTGCATGTTAGACAAGCACTCTTGCTGACCTCTTTCCCTTCTTTGCAGTTTGAAAGGGTTTCACAGTGTTAAGTTGGGCACAAATTACAATCTTCCTGCCTTAGCCTCCTGAGAAGCTGGAATTATAGCCATGTGCCACTATGTCCAGCTTGTATTTGTCCGATTGAGGTGTGCATTCTTGTACAATAGTGCCTAGTACATTAAATGTACTTAGTAATTTGAAAGAAGTATCAGCTCCAAAAAATTAGCATTTTTCCCTTTTCACTTTAATATAATGTTAGATTCATAGAGGAGTTGCAAAATAGTACAGAGAATTCCCTTATGGTCATCACCCAGTTCCTCTAGTTGTAGCTTATATAACTCATGTAGTCCTTAAAACTAAGATATTAATGTTAGCGCAAAAATATTTATTTACTTAGTCACAGACTTCCTTTGTATTTTTATCATTTTTTTCACTAATGTTCTTTTCTGTTCCCAGGTCCCATCTAAGATCTCACACTGTATTTATTTGTCACATGTCAGTGGTCATCTCTTAGCCTCCTCTGTCTCTGTTTTGTGTGCCTTTTGATACTTGCTAAGTGTACGGTTCAGACAGATGCTTTTAGTCTGTTTTGTGCTACTGTAATAGAATACCACAGACAGGTATTTATGGGCTAAATTCTGGAGGCTGGGAACTTCTAGACTGAGGAAGGCATCTTCTGAGGCCCTTCTTGCTTTGTCATCTTGGCAGAAGAACAAAGAGACTCAGATGTATACAAGTGGGGGTGAAACTTGTCGTTTTAGGGAGCCTAATGACATTCATCCACTCACAAGGACAGAGACCTATAGCAGTGGTGGCATACCTATGGCAGGCGTGCCACAGTGGTCTCTTTGTTGTCATTGATAACTTTAAAAGGTTTGCCATCACTGGTCTGTAGTCTCCAGCTCTTGTTCGTATTACACAGGGGATTCATTCTCACACAGGTTATGGGGCACACCTTTCAAACCATAGCATAGATTATCTTTTCATGTAGGTTTGTCCGATGCTTTATCTTGTTATGTTGATAGTGATTTTTGGGAAGAATAAAAGATTTGATATGTCCTCAATTTATCGTATCAGGGAGTATGTGATGTTGATATTGGTAATATTAACCTTCACCATTTAAGATGGTTTCTGCCAGGTTTTTTCTGCTGTAAAGATTTTATTTTTTCCTATGTAATTAATGTATATTTTGGGAGAGATATTTTCAGGCTCCTCATTAATTTTACAATTCATTAGTGGATCTTGTCTACAACAATTACTACTTTGTTGTTGATGATTTTGTTTTCTTCTTTTTTTTTTTTTGAGACAGAGTCTCACTGTAGTTCATGCTGATCTTGAACTCACTATGTAATCAGACTGACCAAGATCCTCCTGCCTCAGCCTCCCCAGTGAATGATAATTTTCTATTTTCTTTGTTCCTTTTATAGTGTAAAATTCTTCTGAAAGGAAGAATTATCCTCTCTGCCCCATTTACTTATTCAGTCTTTTTTATATCAGTGTGAACTCATGAAGTTTTATTTTACTCTTTAGATTATAATCTAATACTGTCAAGGGCTGGGGATTTAGTTCAGTGGTGCTGCTGCCTGCCTTGCAAGCTCAAGGTCCTGAGTTCGATCCCCAGTACCCCCGCCCCCCCAAAAAAATCTAATACTGTCAAAGTGTGTGTGTGTGTGTGTGTGTGTGTGTGTGTGCGTGTGTGTGCGTGCATGTGCAAGTGCACAGTGGCTCTTTGTTCTAGCTTTGGCCATTAAGAGTCTCTCCAGGTTGGTTTTTATTCATGTGACATTACTCTGTCTCTTCGCGTCCCCTTCTCCTTCCACCCCTCTGCTCTTCTTTTGTGGTGCTGAGGACTGAACCCAGGGTCTCCTATATGCTAGGCAGGTACTGTTCCATTGAACTACAGCCCCAGACCTTTTCAGTTTTGGAGGTGGAGGGAAGGCCTCATGAAGTTGCCTAAATTGACCTTGAACCTAGAATTTTCCTCTTCAAATCTGGGACTACAGATGTGTATGAGTCACCTTGCCTGGCTTCTTTCTTTTTTTAAAAAAAACACCTTTTTACTTTCTGGCACCACAGGGTACTCCAGGGTTTTCTTGTATTTCTCTTGTTTTATTTTTTATTTTTATTTATTTATTTATTTAATTTATTTATTTTTGAGACAGGATCTCACTATGTAGTTGAGACTGACCTGGAACTCACTATGTAGCCCAGGCTGGTCTTGAACTCGCAGTGATCCTCCTGCCTCAGCCTCCTGAGTGCTAGGATTACAGGTGTGCAGCACCGCGCCTGGCTCTATATTTCTGTTGTTTTAGCCCTGGAGTCAGTTACTTCTCTAAGGAACTTGGATTCCTTTTATTGACTGGTATTCAGAAAGTCAGGTCCGAGTGCCAGGTGTGCTCATTGCCGTTCTGATGTCATTGCTTCTAGGCCCATTGGTGCACACAGATAGCTTCGACTTCATTTTAGCATCATAGCACTGGTTTTAGCATTTTCCCTTTGCTTATTTCCCTTTTCTTGTGTGATTTCTTTTTTTTTTTTTTGGTTCGGGGGATTGCACTCGGGACCTTGTGCTGGTGAGGCAGGCAGCAGCACCACTGAACTTCATCACCAGCTTTGTGTGATTTCTTACTACAGAGCCTACCTCTTGTTATCTACAGTGTGTTCAGTTATTTATTTAATCCTAGTATACTAATAATGTGGCTTTAGAGTTGCTGACCCATGCCCCTGGGAAAAACAGTTCTACCAATTAAAGTATTTGTATGTATAGTAATTCTTTTTGTCTTAGAGTCTAGTCCGTATACTTTTCTCCATAATTGCTTAGGTTGACCCCTTTCTTCCCCTCCCCTTCTAGTGTAGATATTTCAAGTATTTGTAATATAGTTAGATACATGTATTTTGGTCTGACATCCATCCTAGACTTCTCTCACGTTCTAGTTGAATTTAAATGTGATTTACATGCAGCTGGGTGTGGTGACGTATGCAGTACCCGGCTACTTGGGAGGCTGAGGCAGAAGAATTACAAGTTTAAGGTCAGCCTGGGCATTTAGTGAGACCTTGTTTTTTAAAAAATAAAAGGGCTGAAGATGGACTTCAATGGCATAGTATTTGCTGGGTGTGGTAGCACATTCCTGTACTCCCAGTACTCAGGAGGCTGAGGCAGAAAGATCGCCGTGAATTTGAAGCAGTCTGGGCTACATACTAAGTTCAAGGCCAGCCTGGACTGCCTAGTGACATCTTGCCTTAAAAACAAAAGCATCAGTGGCATATTACTTGCCTACAAAGCTCTGGATTCAATCCCTGGAACTAGGGTAAACACAGTAGAATTTACGTAAATATATAGTTCTGTGGGTTTGAGAAGAGGGTAGTTATGTTTCTACCATCACAGTACCATACAGAACATTTCCATTATGTTCACAGTTGCTTTGTGGTACCTCTTGATAGTTTTATATATTAACTTCATTTCTTACCTCCAACCCTTGGCAGTTGGTTGTGTTTTAGATATTAAATACTGGAAAAGGAGAAAACTTGGGAGTAGCTTATGTATAGCTAAAGAGTTTGTGTTGCGTTAGAAGAAAGGAAACAAAGATCTTATCTTTACAACTGGTAGTTTTTGTGATTTCATCTATTTAGTTATCATTGGTACCAGTGTCCTGGTAAATATCCAGACAGTATAGTTCAATAGAAAATTGTACATCAATATACAAATAGTACTACAATGTTCTGATGTTTTGGAATTTAAAAAATTACTACATTGGATTATTTCCTTGGAATTACTGTGGTTCTAGAATGTTAAGCTGTTGGTTGTCCTTTAATGGAGCTCATTTTTGTCTGTTATTTTCAGAGTAAAGCTGCTGCTAAAGCTGGATCTTCTAAATACCAGTGGGGTATTATGCAATCCCTTGGACTGCCTGATGAAGAGATTGTAAAGTTTTCTGAAGCAGAGCACTGGCTTGATTATTTCCCACCACTGGCTATTCAGGATCTAAAGAGAATAGGTTTGAAGGTATGCTCATTACCTTCATAGCTAAAATGTAAAGAAAGCATTTATATTTGTGTGAAAAGATTTGGACCAATTCTTAAATTTAGAATAATCTACCTGTACGCCAGTAAAGAATTGTACTTATTGTTACAATAGCATGTAAAATAGGCCTCAGTGCGAGCAGTGAAGCACTTTAATATTTATTTCTTAATTGAGTGTATATCAATAGATTAACAGTAAATAGAAAAATTTTTAAATATAGGGCCAGGGATTTAGCTCAGTGGTACCTCTGCCTGCCTTGTAAGCACAAAGTCCTGAGTTTAATCCCTGGTACCAAAAAAAAAAAAAAAAAAAAAAAAAAAAAAAAGAGAGAGAGAGAGAGAGAAAGAAACCACAATTATTTAGGAATACATAATTATTTCACTATTTTGTTTTTATTATAAATCCTGTGTTTATTAATATTTAAATGTATATGTTTAAAAACATTATTAGAGTAATTGATAGGTTTACATAGTAAATGGAACTTGAAAATTTTTTTCTTCTAATATTTGATGTAATTCTAAGTTGGGGAATAAAGAGTATAAGAGTAAATAATTGATACATAATTTTTTTGTTTTGTTTTGTTTTGTTTTTTTGAGAAAAAGTTCAGGTTGGCCTTGAACTAACTATATAGCCCAGGCTAGCCTAGAGCTTGCAGTGATCCTCTTGCCTCAGCCTCCTGAGTGCTGGGATGGCAGGCATCTGCCACCATGCCCAGCCAGAAATTTATTTGTATTTACAAAAATTTTGTATATTTCTCATGATTACCTTTTCCTTTTATAGGTAGACTGGCGTCGTTCCTTCATTACCACTGATGTTAATCCTTACTATGACTCATTTGTCAGGTGGCAATTTTTAACTTTAAGAGAAAGAAACAAAATTAAATTTGGAAAGCGGTAAGTTTGTTGTCTGTCAGTATTCTTTCATTATGATTTAATACTTATAATGTACCTTTCTATTATCCTGTCTCTTTTTATACTTTCTTTATTTTCTTGCATCCTTCATTTTCCTTTATTTCTTGCTAGTTCTTAATTACTCTGAGCTGCTTTGTGTTTGTTCTTTTTTTTTTGGTACCAGGGATTGAACTTGGAACCTTGCGCTTGCCAGGCAGGCGCCAGAACTACTGAGCTAAATCCCCGGCCCTGCTTTGTTTGTGACACATCCAGGGAGAATGGAATTATAGGCTTTTATGATCTTATTAAAGATTCTGTTTGGTATTCCTGGCCAAGTAGAAAAATAATTATTTATGTTTTATGATTTATGTTCTCAAAATTACTCAAGATTCTTCCTTGATTATGTAGATAAATAAAAAACTATTTGCATTTCATAAGTAAGTTTGTATTTTATAGTCTTTCATTTTGTACCACAAAGCCAAGATGAGTTCATATTTTTCAGTAGTAATACTTTTGATGAAGGTAGAAACCTTTTATTAGTAGCTAGGTTGACAGTAGAACTACTCATACTACTCATAAAAGTGTAAATAATAGGGATGTTAGCAACACTGGCAAGTATGTTAGGATATAACTTGAATATTATAATAATATTTACTATTTATTGCTTATTTTTTAGGTATACTATTTATTCTCCAAAAGATGGACAGCCTTGCATGGATCATGACAGACAAACTGGAGAGGTGATTTTTTTATGACAGAGTAGCGTAGCTATTGTAATAATCCTTAATGTGGCCACAGTTTTATATCAGAAGCCTAAAACTATCTTCCTTGTAGTACTGAGGTAGAGTCACAATACTCTGGTGGTTGTGCTGGGTAAGACTGACTGTCATTACAGGTTCCTGTATCTTGTCAAGGACTGTGCTACTCTGAAGAGTGGTCTGTGGACCTGGTCTACCTGCTTGTCACAGAAAGCACATTATTGAGCCTCGTCTCAAAATGGCAGAGTCAGAAGCTGGAGTGGGGCCCCGGGATCTGTGTTTTTATAAGCTCTCAGTGTGATTCAGAACATTCATATTAATGTTGGAGCAGCACCATTTGGAGAATATACAGCTCTAAGAAGAAAATTGAAGGAGAGATAATATGTGGCTTTCTTTTGCAGTAGTGGAGATTGAGCCCAGGAGTTTGCATGTGCTAGGCGAGCACTACTCAGCTCCATCTCCAGTCCATTTATTTATTTATTAAAATATTTATTGATTTTTTTTTTAAATTTCAAAACTTTATTTAAAAAAATCCTTCATTACAAGTTTAAACTCTGAAGCTCTCCACCACACCCCACTCCCCCAGAATGTTCATAAATACAGACTGCAAAGAAAATTCTCCATTTGAAGTGGTAATTAAAAAATAAGGTTGGGGATTTAGCTCAGTGGTGCAGCTACCTGCCTTGCAAGCACAAGATCCTGAGTTCGATCCCCAGTATAAAAAAAAAAAAAAAAAAAAAAAAGAAAATGATATCCATAGGCATTAGCCCATTCTCCGAACAGGCAGGACAGTGCTCAGGAGCCACAGTTCTAGGGTTGTTATTGGCTTCTGCTGTGTCCAGAATTTACAGGTAAATTTCCATACTGAATCAGGAGGGATGAAAGGGATGTGGTCCTGCAGTATTATTTACTGTCCCTCCTGGATGAGTCCTCGAGTTTTCCACTTCACATGAAGTTGAGTTTTTCTTTCCTGTTGATTTTTTGGATGTATGACCATTACGGTCTTTTACTTTTTTCCAATATGTTAATGTAAATGATCTTTGAATATAGCATGATGTTGGTAAAGAACCCCAGACATCTGAATTTGCTGGTTCATAAATGATTGAACTTTCGGTGAGAATCCCCTGTGTGTGCCATCCTCAAAACCATGAATGGACATAGAAACCATGAGGAGCAGGACTAACAAGCGGGTGATCTTCATCACTTCGGGTCTCCATCCAGGGTAACACAGGAGACTGGAAGTGAGGGAAACAGCCATCCCCAGTCCTTTTAAAATTTGAAGAACTTTTTTAAAATTTTGAGACAGGGTCTTACTAAGTTGTCAAGGCTGGCCTTCAACTCACGATCTTCTGTCTCAGCCTCCCAGGTAGCTGGGATTAATCCAGCTGTGACTAACTTTTGATATTCAGATTGAATTATATTTGCTTTGATTATTTACCTATTAGCTTATTTCCACAGTACTTCTAGCTGTGTCTAATAGTTCACTCTACATTATTGTGGAACACATTGATAACATTATTCCCTGTAATACTTGGCTACAGCAAGGGTGACTTTTCCTAAAACCTTCGCACAGTAAATCAGTGACAGTGCCAGCATCTGAGTTCATGAGCTCTGGCTTCATCTGTTACTGTTGCTGTCACTGACTGCTGTAGACTAGGTCATTTATAAGGGTAAAGGTATACAGATCTGTAGGCTGAAGGTCCAGGACCAAGGAATTGCCTCTTGGTGAAGGCCTTCTTGGTGGTTGAGGTTTTCTGCAGGGTCCTGTGGTAGAGCCCATCATCACATGATGAGGGGCACATTCCAGAATCTGAAGCAAATGGGTATTTTTATTTTTAATTTTTTTGGTACCAGAGATCAAACTCAGGACCTTGCGCCTGCGGGTCAGGTGCGGCACCACTTAGCTAAGTCCCCAGCCCATAAATGGGTATTTTTAACAAATCCTTTCTCATGATACCTGTTAACCCTTTAATCTGTGAACCTATGAATGGATTAATCCATTCATGACCTAAATACCTCTCAGAGGTCCCATGAAGGTACATCTCTTAATGCTTCATAGTAAGGATTAAATTTCATTTTTATTTATTTTTTTGTTTTGTTCTATATATGCCTCTCTCTCTCTCTCTCTCTCTCTCTCTTTCTCTCTCTCTCTCTCTATATATATATACATACATATATATATATTTTTTTTTAAGACAGGTTGCTATGTAGTCTATCTATGCTGGTCGAACTCATGGTGATCCCCTGCCTCAGCCTCCTGAGTGCTGGGATTATAGGTGTGCGCCACCACTCCCAGCTACAGTTGCATATACTTTAATAACAAAGGTACTTTAGCTGTAAATGAACAAAATCAGGGAGACAGGAGATTTAACACGATCTTTTTATAAGCTTAGGCATGTATGAAACTTCAAAACATTGTTTGTAGGCTGGGGATTTAGCTCAGTCTTGCTGCCCCTGCCTTATAGGCTCAAGGTCCTGAGTTAAATGATCCCCGGTACCCCAAAAAAACATTATCTGTTAACAGAGGCTACTGGTTTTGATTATGTATTTCCTAAAACATTAGGAAAGAGTGCAAAGTTAGGTCAAACAACATTGTCAAGAAAATTCTGTCCTAAAATTTTAACAGTTTTAAAAAGAAAGTCTTAAAAACCTGTTTTCCCACATTGACTCAAAACTTTTGAGTTGTGTATCAGTATATATCCTGCCAAAGTTAGCACTTGAGCTATGTGTCAGAATATCATTTCTCAACTTAAGCTTTACCACACATGAGGGATTAAATTTTAACATGTGTTTTGGTGGGAACATTCAGACTGTAGAATTGCTATTAGTACATCATCCTTTATTACCATCTTTGAAAGTGTTTGTAGTCTAGCAACTACTTTTCAAAATCAGCCTCCAGGTCTGTATAACTTGTTGATAGGAATGAGAATTGATTAAAATTTGGAAAGATTTTAGAGATTTCAGAAGGCCCTGTAAAGTTTTAGTATAGATTGAGCATTCCTAATCCAAATACCTGAAATATTCCAAAATTTGAAAGTTTTTGAGCACTGATAACGTCATTCAAAAGATTTTGGATTTTGAACTTTTGATTTTTGGATTAAGCATTGCCCTGAAAATATTTTAAATTTTGGATCATTTCAGAAGTCGTATTTTTCAGATGAGGGTTCCTTAAATAGTAAAGTCTATGCAAATAGACCAAGATCTGGAAAAGCTCTGAAATCTCAGATTATTTCTGATCCCAAGTATTTTGCACCAGAGATACTCAACCTGTGCAGCCAGTGGTAGCAATAACTCGAATTTTGATAATACTTTGTAGTTTTTTTATCTCGTGTTCCTTAGGACACTCTTGGGAGACACAGCTCAGATGGTGACTCCCTGGTGTCGAGCTATTAGTAAGGAACCAAGCTCAGTTTAGAATGCAGATCATCTGATGCCTGGCTGAGTACGTTTCTGTGATGAATGCACTTTGGTACCTGCCCTTTGAGTGAGGATTGGAGTTGTATCTTTTCCTATATTGGTGAATAACATTTTGGCTGATAATTTGATGACACTGAATTCCTCCTTGCTCAGTAGACTTCATGTGGCTATGGACAGCATCCCCTAGCAGTTTATTTATTTGTTGAGAGACAGTGTCTCATTATATAGTCAAGGCTGGCCTTGAATTTATCATGATCCTCCTGCCTCAGCCTCCCACTGGGATTACAGATGTGCACCACCAAGCCTGGTGCCTAAGTTAGAAATTTGAATCAGATCCTCCACATAATTTAGTAGGCTTATTCCAAGTCTTTTTTTCCCTTAGATTTTTGTTTTGTTTATTTTGTTCAGGGTGTTGGACCTCAGGAATATACTTTACTGAAATTGAAAGTGCTTGAGCCATATCCATCTAAATTGAGGTAGGTTTGCCAAAGAGTCCTTTAATCATTTATGAATTACCAGTTAGTTGGGAGGAGGAAATCTATACTTTTTTTTTTTTAAACATAAACGTGTACTTTTTCTTTTTAGTGGCCTCAAAGGTAAAAGTATCTTCTTAGTAGCTGCTACTCTCAGACCTGAGACTATGTTTGGACAGACAAACTGCTGGGTTCGTCCTGATATGAAGTACATTGGATTTGAGACAGCGAATGGTGATATTTTCATCTGCACCCAGAGAGCAGCCAGAAATATGTCGTACCAAGGCTTCACCAGAGTTAATGGAGTGGTGCCTGTTGTTAAGGAATTAATGGGGGAGGTAAGTTGGGTAGTATAATTTTACTTTCATGAATACAGTTGGAAGAAAACTTCAATAAGAACCTTGAGAAAAGAGCATTTAAAATCTTTGTCAGGGCCAGGGATTCAGTTCAGTGGCACTGTGCCTGCTGTGCAAGTGCAAGATCCTGAATTGGGTCCCCAGTACCAAAAAGAAAAAAAAAAACCTAACAAACAAAAACGCTATGACAAAGTATTAAGTCGTTTGTGTTTTACTAATCTTCATACACTTGCGTCAGTATCACCCAAATGAAGACACAAAACAATCGTAGAAGTGCTTCAGAAGGCTCTGTTGTATCCTCCCCATCCTCCAAAGGGAGCCTCTGCTCTTACTTCTCCAGAGTGGGCGCTGTCCTTGAACTTCACATCATAGCATGATAGGTACAGTGTGTACTATTTAGTGTCTAGCTTTTGTTAAACATTATGTTTATGTGATTTATGCATGTATATAGGAATAGTTTTTCTTTATTGCTAAGTATTAATTGTATATCACTAGAATAATATTTGTGAATTTTATGTTTTAACTCAGTATGCGGGTCCCCAAGAGATTTAATAACTACATTACACATTATGTTTTAGGTTCACATTTTTTTTTTTCTTGGTACTGGGGATTGAACTCAGGTCCCAGTGCTTGCAAGGCACGCGGCAGAACCACTGAGCTAAATCCCCAGCCCCATATTATGTTTTAAATACTGTTATGGGAGCCAGGGATTTGGCTCAGTGGTTCCACCGCCTGCCTCGAAAGCTCAAGGTCCTAAGTTTGATTCCCAATACCAAAAAAAAGAGAAGAAAAATACTGTTACCTCTGTTCTTTTTGTTTTTTGTTTTTTTTACATACATTCTTGATACTAAATTTGGAATTGCAGCTGCTTTTTTTCTGAAAAGTAAGACTTGGTTGATGTTAATTAAATCTGGACTGTTGCATATCCTTTTACTTTATCTACTTATCAGTATTTCGTTTCTTTCTTTTTTTTTTTTTTTTGGTACCGGGGATTGAACTCGGGTCCTTGCGCTTGCAAGGCAGGCCACCGAACCGCTGAGCTAAATCCCCGGCCCGTTTTTCCCATTCTTAATGCACATTTTCTTCATGTTAATTTAAAGAAATTCTGCAGTGAGGAAAATAGATATTATCAACTAAAAACATAGATTTCAACCTTGAAAACTGTTATATAGCTGTCCCTCACATGACTACAAATTCTGTGAAGGCATCATATTTGTGCGTATATGAATACAACGGGCTGGAGGGGGCTGGAATGGAAGTGTGTTACTACTTAGAGCAAGAAGCTTCAAGCATTTGTTGCCATATGAGATTATGGGTCCAGTGTTCCTGAAACTTAATTTTCTCGAGAAACACTAGAAGTTTGTTTCTAATATGTTTTTTTTTTTTTTAACATGTCTGTGTTCATAATTATCATTTTGTGTTTTTTGTGAGACAGTGTCTCACTGTGTGGCCCAGGCTGGCCTTGAACACATGGTAATTCTACCTTAGCCTCCTGAATGCTGCTATTACAAGTGTTGCACACCCAGCTACCATAATTATCATTTTAAATGCATGAGTTGTAGTGTTACATCTTTTTTTTTTTTTTTTTTTGAGACAGGGTCTCACTATGGAGTTGAGACTGACCTGGAACTCACTTTGTAGCCCAAGCTGGTCTCGAACTCACAGCAATCCTCCTGCCTCAGCCTCCAGAGTGGTGGGATTACAGGCAGTTGTGCGCTACCATGCCCAGCTGTAGTGTTATATCTTATATGTTGTCTGTTTTAAAAGTTTTTTTTTTTGTTGGCTGGTTCTGAGTTTTGTGGACACAGTGTGGCTCTTCGTATGGATTCCTGTGTTGTTTTCCTCAAGGAGTGCAATTTAAGAGCAATGTATTAGTGTAGTAAGTTCACCACAGTATCACCAAATTAGGTATTACAATTGAAATCATTTTAGATTAGTAGGCACAAAAGTGTTTATTTTACATCATATTTTTTTAACTGACAAAGCTGTATATATTATTGTGTGAAACATGACGTTTTAAGTATACACATTGTGAATGGCCAAATCAAGCTAATTAACCAATGTGTTACCTCATGCACTTATTTTTTTTGTTGTGAGAACCTTTAGAAATCTCTTGTGATTTTGAAGGATACAATGTACTATTAACTGCAGTCATCATTTTGTGTAGTCATTGATCTCCTGAGCTTATTCCTGTGTATTTCTGATTGCTAGCTTTTTGAGCTTATAATATTAATATTGAAATTTTAATTGTTATAAATAAGTTTGTTCACCTTTTCTGCTGATTTTTTTTCTTGTGCAGGAAATTCTGGGTGCGTCCCTTTCTGCGCCTTTAACTTCCTATGACGTGATCTATGTTCTCCCAATGCTCACCATTAAGGAGGATAAAGGTAAAAGGTTGTTTCTAGAAATACTTTGGCAGTCACATTCTGGTTGTACTGTTTAATTCTGCACTTTCTTTTCAAAGGCACTGGTGTGGTCACAAGTGTTCCTTCTGATGCCCCTGATGATATTGCTGCCCTCAGAGACTTGAAGAAAAAGCAAGTAAGTTTCTGAGTTTGATGTTCTTTTTTGTCTTCATTTCATTGTTTTGTTACTCCTGCACTATACCATGACATTAGACTAAAAAGATACACATTTACCTTTAAACTTATCTAAAACCTGTTTTATAATGTTTACAGATTTTCTGTAGGTAAAATTTTGAATACAGTTTTCATAGAATTTTGAATGAGCTTTTTGAGATCACATTTTTGTTGCAACTGAGAACATGATCCTCAGCTTAACCGATATATGTGTATTTTTGCATTTGGCTTCACAGTGTCATTACTTAAGCTATATACTATAATTTAAGCTATTGAAAATTTTTCAGTATGGAGAAAACAAATAATAGTTCAAGAAAAGTTTGGAGTTTGCTTTTCTCAATGATTATCCTAATAGCATTGACCATTACTGTTAACTTGTGAATTGTTTTATAGGCCCTTAGAGCAAAATATGGAATTACAGATGACATGGTTTTGCCATTTGAACCGGTGAGTACATGGCTGAGTCACAATTTTCAAATTTATTTCTTTATCAGAGAAAAAAAAAGAGAGCTAACTTGTTTTCCTTACAAAAAATTAAGTAATCTGTGGAGTGTAAAAATAAGAGAGGGTATTTGCTTAAGGATTTATTTACTTTAATTTGATTTTTGCTGTTCAAGGTAATAGAGGAAAACTAACCATAATATTTTCTTAGACATGAGATTACACTTCTGGGACAAATAGCTTTGTAGCATCATCAATTTTGTACTAGTTTGTTTCTTATTATAACCAATGTCCTGGCTTCTAAAGACAGTTTTGTCATGTTGCTCATGAATATTTATTTGTAGCCATAATAACAAAGTCCCATACAACTCTGTTTTCTTTTTTTTTCTCCTTGTGTTTTCTTTTTGTGGTACTGGGGATTGAACCCCAGGCCTTCGTACCAACCTACACCATCAGTCCTTTGAATGTATTATTTTGAGATAAGATCTTGATAAGTTGCCCAGACTGGGCTCCAAGGCAATCCTGCCTTAGCCTCCCAGAGTGCTAGGATTACAAGCGCGTAGTACTATGCTCCTCAGCTCTTGAGTTTTCATATTAATGCTTACAGAAGAAATAAATGACATTCACGAAGAATCCAGAAAATTTAATATAAGAAAGCAAAACCTGCCAGGCGTGGTGGCACACACCTGTAATCCTAGCGCATGGGTGGCTAAGGCAGGAGGATTGCTCTGAGTTCAAGGCTATCCTAGGCCATATAGTGAAGTATAGCAAGACCCTGTCTCAAAAACAAAAAAGCAAGATCATCCACAAAAATAATCGTTCACAACTGCTTTGCTGGTTTCAACTTTAATTATTTAGTTAACACATTCCAGGGCTGGGGATTTAGCTCAGTGGCACTGTGCCTGCCTTGCAAGTGCAAGGTCCTGAGTTCAATCCCTGGTACCAAAAAAAACCCCCAAGAAACAGTGCCTGTGGAGGGCTGAGAGCTGGGGAAAGTGTGTGGATGTTTGTGCAGTTTGGCTCCTGTGGAGAAGAGGAGGGCAGATTTCCATGTAGTCCCTCTGTGATTACTTAGTGTGTGGTTGAGCCTTTGGAAATGGTTCCATGGGCTATTAGAAGCTCAAGGTCTGTGCACCATCGGGCTCTTTCTGTGTCCATTCATTGTGAATGAGCTTCCTTGTTGCTCTTTGCAGGTGCCAGTTATTGAGATCCCAGGCCTTGGCAGTCTTTCTGCTGTAACCATTTGCGATGAGTTGAAAATTCAGAGCCAGAATGACCGAGAAAAACTTGCAGAAGCAAAGGAGAAATTATATCTAAAAGGATTTTATGAAGGTGTAAGTGATAATTTCTTATTTGTTTGGTTTTTGTTTTGTGTGCTATTGGGGTTTAATTACTGTTTTAGTGTACTGTATGCCCTGGAATTTTCTTTTTTTCTTTTTGGTACGAGGGATCGAACTGGGGTCATGGCGCTTGTGAAGCAGGCACTGGAACCACTGAGCTAAATCCCCAGCCCATGGGATTTTCTTAATGATTTTGAAAAAAATGAAAGAAAAATTCAGTGCAGTTTCAGTAACACATTGATTTGAGAGATTAGTATGGTATTATGTTCTATTTCTAAATATTTATCTTTATCGTGTCTTTTGTCTAAGAATAGTTTCAGAAATTACACTGTACTCTATGAATCTCTAAGAGATAAATTTCTTGAGAAGATAAAATTAGTTCATATTGTTATGCTGTAAACTCCAAAGATTTATTGGATCTGGATGCCTTCTCCTTTTTTATTTTTATTGTTTTGAGACAAGGTCTCGCTATGTAGTTCAGACTGTCCTTGAAATGACTAAGCAGTCTAGACTGGCCTTGAACTTGCTGCGCTCCTCCTGCTTCAGCCTCCTGAGTGCTGGGATTGTAAATGTGCACTCGACCTTTTCTGTTAATTCAGTTATTGCAGACAAGCAGTTTCTTATTAATTTACTCATTAATGCCTGCTAAATATCGGGTAAGCACAGCAAACATGTTCTGAACCTCTCTGTTTTCTCAGTTGTACATATGTTAATGCGGCTTAAATTTCCTTGGAAAGACAATTAGCCTAGAGGGAGTAAAAATCTAACAAAGTTAGCTGCTTACGTTTGAAAGGAAGATCTTTTTTTTTCTTGCGGTGCTGGGGATTGAACCTCATGCATGTGAGGCACTGAGCTACATCCGCAGCCCTTGAAATGAAGTTTTTGTCTTTTTTCTTTTTAAAAGAGGAGAGACTTATTTGAAGATTTTTAAGGAGACTAATGAAAATCCCATTTATTTTATTTATTTATTTTTTTGGTACTGGGGATCGGATTCAGGATCTTGTGCTTGTGAGGCAGGCGGCAGCACCACTGAGCTACATCCCCGGCCCAGTGCCTTTTTTTTTTATTTTTATCTGCTAGGTAACCAAGAATTAGTTATATGTCTTTTTAAGTGACTTTTACATGTTAAGTCATAATGAGAGACAACACTTACATAGCACTTGCATATTAATTTACTTAATTCCTAAGAATTCTGTGAAGTACACATTGTTACCCCATTTTACAAATGAGGAAGTGGAGAATAAAGAGGTTAAGTAATTTAATCAAGATCAGTCATATATAGCCAGTGGCTGACCTGGGATTCAAGGCAGCTTAGCTCCAGGATTTGAGATTTTTTTTTTTTAAGTACTGGTGATCAGGCCCAGGGTCTTGCATGTACTAGGCAAGCTAAGTTATATTGCCAGCCCTTTTTTATTTTTGAGACCAAGTTCTCACTAAGTTCCCCAGGCTTGCCTCAAACTTGCTATACCCCTACCTTAGCCTCCGAAATAGCTGAGATTTCATGTGTATTCCCACCATGGCTTGTAGGTTTTGTGTTTTAAACATTACACCATAATAATCATCAAGTGTAACTTCATAATGATGGGTTAAATAGAGAGTGAAACATTTGGTGAGAGGAATAGAAAGAATATATCTCTTCCATCCAAAATTAAGACTGTTTGAGAGAGACACAATAGTCAGAGGCCAGAAGCCAAACTTTATTATTAAAGAAAGCTATAAGGGGACCATGGCTTAGATATGTGGCAATAATGGGTGAGCTCATACTTTGCACTAGAATTATTGAGTAGCAGCAGGCTTGCAGCAGCGAGGGTTGGAAAGAGAAGGATAAATAGCACACATGTTTAGTTTCTTTTCCTAAAACCATCAGAAATGAGGTGAGTTAGTATAGCAGAATCCTTCCATGTAAAAGCTGAGACGTGGAAGTCATGCTCACAGTAGCTATGGCAGCTATTCCCGAAGAAAGACAAGTGTGTTATAAATATTGGTTGTCTAGGCTGGACACGGTGGCACCCAGCGCTCTGAGAGGGTAAGGCAGGAGAATAGCAAGTTTGAGCCCAGCCTGGGCAACTGAGAGAACTAGAGAGATTCCGTGTCAAAAAAAAAAAAAAGGCCTGGAAACACAGCTCAGTGTGAGAGCCCAGATTCAGTCTACAGTACCCCCCATTAGTTGTCCAGGCTATGCCAAAACAATACGGCTATGAATGTGATAAATTTCACGCTATAACGAATTTTAATTGTTTTTTTTTTTTCTCCTTTTCATCCTTTTAGGTAATGTTGGTGGACGGATTTAAAGGACAGAAAGTCCAAGATGTGAAGAAGACTATCCAGAAAAAGATGATTGATGCGGTAGGTGATAGGTCATCCTCTGAAGGCTATGTTGGAAGAACTGTTAACTAATGGACTTTGGGACTGGGGGTTTATCCTCATAAGTGCAAGGTCCTGAGTTTGATCCCTGGTACCAAAAACAAAACAAAACAAAACAAAAAACTAAAGGACTTTAACAATGTTATTAACAGTGAGTTCTGTAGCAGAACCTGGAGCTGTATTAAAGACATATTTATGGAGGAGTGAAGACCTATTTAGCAGAACATCCTACGTGCTAGGTTGTTGAAGGTAGCATCCTAGAGCACGTACACAGAACTTCAGTAGTACTTGCTGGAGGTAGCCATGTTAGATAAGACGCTGATACAGAATTACATTCTCTTTCTGTGGTGTTTTACTGCTTTATTGTCATCCTTCCCAACTGCTCCGTTTTTGTTGCAGCTTTCTTTTATTTAGCTACTTAATTCTTTAAATTTTTAATTTTATTTTTTTGGTACCAGGGATTGAACTTGGGACCTCATGCTTCTGGGGCAGGTGGTGGAACCACTGAGCTAAATCCTGGCCCTAAATTTTTAATTTTTAATTAGCCTGTTAGGCTGATTTAAAATAAGAAAGCAATGGTTTCCTCTTCATTGTTTCACATATTTAAAATTTCTCTTCCTCGGAGGGAATCAGTTTCAACTATCTTATTTTAGTATTGATTTCCATTTTTCTCATGTTTTAAATGCTTGTAGTGTATTTTGGAATTTGATTTTTTTTTTTTTCAGCTTTAGGCATTAACCACTGACTTCCTACTGGGGAAGATAAAAATTTGTCCTCCTGCCCTACCTTGTGTCTTCCATAACTGACGTATTTATATCTCCTATGTTATCTTCCTAACATAGTTGTATTGTAACTTATGTTACATGAATAGTCATTGTGTATATTTTTTGTTTTGTTTTGTGTTTTTTTTTAATTTTATTGAGTTTATTGGTACATTTTAGGGATACAGTACAGTTACATTCATTATTGATCATGTAC